GCAGCAGCAGCAGCAAAATGTTTACACGTTCAGCAGCAACCATGAGCTCGACGAGGACAGGCCAACCGAGGCCGGCGGGGAGACAGTCCGTGTGAAGGTAATCCAGCAACGCAGCAAACACCTAAACCACAAACCCTAAACCCTAAACCCTAAACCCTAAACCCCAAACCCTAAACCCTAAACCCTGAAAAACATCACCTACATACTACACGCCAAACCCTCGGCGGTTCTATCCTTCACAAGAGTATAAACCCTAGCTACAAAAACAGAATAAAAACTGGCTCAAACACTCTAAACCCTAAACCCTAAACCCTAAACCCTAAACCCTAAACCCTCACTTCATGCCGAATGCCTTCGATGGGTATGGGTTTATTCTCTCTATCGTTTGCTTCTTTTAAACCCCCAAAGAAAAGAGCGCGGAAATGTTCTGATCTGTACATACACCCCAAACCCTAAACCCTAAACCCTAAACCCTAAACCACAAACCCTAAACCACAAACCCTAAACAACGCAAAACCCTCGTCAGTTTATCTATCTCTCAAGAACGAGCGAAGCGAAGCCCCCTCTGTTACACGCTGGCGTGCCTGTACTGTCCAGGGTCTAGGGTTTAGGGTTTAGGGTTTAGGGTTTAGGGTTTAGGGTTTACCTGCATGCAAGCAAAGCCCTAGAAGAATGCATGATTCTCCCCTCAACTATAAACACTGCATCAGAGAGAGGGGTTGGGGCTTGTAGAGAAAGGAGGTTTGTGAGTAGGGTTGAGGGCGGGGGAGATAGAGGGTCTGAAACACAAACCCTAAACCCTAAACCCTAAACCCTAAACCCTAAAATATGAAATGTGAAATGTTAACTACGGCTGGGCTCTTTGTCAGCTTCGTTTGAACTTTTGATTGCTTTTTTCTAGGGTTTAGGGTTTAGGGTTTACGGGCTAGGGTTTAGGGTTTAGGGTTTAGGGTTTAGGGGTAGCCAGAGTGTCCTTATAAACCCCCAAACAAGCAACAGTTCCTTGTTTAGGGTTTAGGGTTTAGGGTTTAGGGTTTATGTGGTTTAGGGTTTATTGTTTCAGTGTGTTACTATCTCCTACAACAGCGTGTTAGGGTTTACGAATAATTTGTTATATAAAGAACTTCTAGCATCCTAGGGTTTAGGGTTTTCTAAGGTTTCCTAGGGTTTTCTAGGGTTTTCTAGGGTTTTCTAGGGTTTTCTAGGGTTTTCTAGGGTTTTCTAAACTTTTCTAAAGTTTTCTAGGGTTTTCTAGGGTTTAGGGTTTAGGGTTTAGGGTTTGTGTACCTAGAGGAAATCTATAGAAATCACTGAGCACCTCACGCCCATCGTAACCACCAAAAACCACAAAATTATTTTTAAATATAACCCCAACCATCGAGCTGCGGCCAGAAGGAAGCAAACGGCCCCCATCTATAAACCTCCATTCGTATGTTTCTGCACACACAAAACCCTAAACCCTAAACCCTAAACCCTAAACGCTAGAGAGGAAGTTGTTCTCTAATACATACACACCAGAATGCTACATATATATATATATATATATATATATATATATATATATATATATATATATATATATATATATATATACTCTTCCTGGCGTTTATAGGAGAGAAAAATAATACAACTAAAAATTTCTAGGGTTTAGGAGGGTTTAGGGTTTAGGGTTTAGGGTTTAGGGTTTACCTAGGTCTAGCTCATAGAAATCGTTTAACCTCTCTCTCCCTGAATACCCCCCAAAAGCAAACAGCTTTCCGTCTTTGGCGCATGCAGCATGAAAGTATCGAGCAGCAGGTCCCCCGTTATGTTTGCTGCTGCTGCAGCATCTGCTGCTGCTGCTGCTGCTGCTGCTGCTGCTGGTGGTAGTGGTAGTGCTGCTGCTGCTGCTGTAGGCGGTGTATGATAAAGCACCGCAGCCACAACCGCTGTTGCTGCTGCTACGGTTGCTGCTGCTGCTGCTGCTGCTGCTGCTGCGCCGCTGCTGCAGCGGCTGCACTGCAGCAGCAGCA